TACCCCCCTTTAAGACAAACCAATTATAACAGTAGAGATGTCCTCCTTTAAGACAAACCCATTATAACAGTAGAGAGGTCCCCCTTTAAGACAAACCCATTATAACAGTAGAGAGGTCCCCCTTTAAGACAAACCCATTATAACAGGAAAGATATCCCCCTTTAAGACAAACCAATTATAACAGTAGAGAGGTCCCCCTTTAAGACAAACCCATTATAACAGTAGAGAGGTCCCCCTTTAAGACAAACCCATTATAACAGGAAAGAGGTCCCCCTTTAAGACAAACCCATTATAACAGGAAAGATACCCCCCTTTAAGACAAACCCATTATAACAGGAAAGAGGTCCCCCTTTAAGACAAACCCATTATAACAGGAAAGATATCCCCCTTTAAGACAAACCCATTATAACAGTAGAGGTCCCCCTTTAAGATTATAACAGGAAAGATATCCCCCTTTAAGACAAACCCATTATAACAGTAGAGAGGTCCCCCTTTAAGACAAACCCATTATAACAGGAAAGAGGTCCCCCTTTAAGACAAACCCATTATAACAGGAAAGAGGTCCCCCTTTAAGACAAACCTATTATAACAGGAAAGAGGTCCCCCTTTAAGACAAACCTATTATAACAGTAGAGAGGTCCCCCTTTAAGACAAACCCATTATAACAGTAGAGAGGTCCCCCTTTAAGACAAACCCATTATAACAGGAAAGACGTCCCCCTTTAAGACAAACCCATTATAACAGGAAAGAGGTCCCCCTTTAAGACAAACCCATTATAACAGGAAAGATATCCCCCTTTAAGACAAACCCATTATAACAGTAGAGAGGTCCCCCTTTAAGACAAACCCATTATAACAGTAGAGAGGTCCCCCTTTAAGACAAACCCATTATAACAGTAGAGAGGTCCCCCTTTAAGACAAACCCATTATAACAGTAGAGAGGTCCCCCTTTAAGACAAACCCATTATAACAGTAGAGAGGTCCCCCTTTAAGACAAACCCATTATAACAGTAGAGAGGTCCCCCTTTAAGACAAACCTATTATAACAGGAAAGATATCCCCCTTTAAGACAAACCCATTATAACAGGAAAGATATCCCCCTTTAAGACAAACCTATTATAACAGTAGAGAGGTCCCCCTTTAAGACAAACCCATTATAACAGGAAAGACGTCCCCCTTTAAGACAAACCCATTATAACAGGAAAGAGGTCCCCCTTTAAGACAAACCCATTATAACAGGAAAGAGGTCCCCCTTTAAGACAAACCCATTATAACAGGAAAGATATCCCCCTTTAAGACAAACCTATTATAACAGTAGAGAGGTCCCCCTTTAAGACAAACCCATTATAACAGGAAAGATATCCCCCTTTAAGACAAACCCATTATAACAGGAAAGAGGTCCCCCTTTAAGACAAACCCATTATAACAGTAGAGGTCCCCCTTTAAGACAAACCCATTATAACAGTAGAGAGGTCCCCCTTTAAGACAAACCCATTATAACAGGAAAGACGTCCCCCTTTAAGACAAACCCATTATAAAGAGAGGTCCCCCTTTAAGACAAACCCATTATAACAGGAAAGAGGTCCCCCTTTAAGACAAACCCATTATAACAGTAGAGAGGTCCCCCTTTAAGACAAACCCATTATAACAGTAGAGAGGTCCCCCTTTAAGACAAACCCATTATAACAGGAAAGAGGTCCCCCTGTAAGACAAACCCATTATAACAGGAAAGAGGTCCCCCTTTAAGACAAACCCATTATAACAGTAGAGATGTCCCCCTTTAAGACAAACCCATTATAACAGGATAGAGGTCCCCCTTTAAGACAAACCCATTATAACAGTAGAGAGGTCCCCCTTTAAGACAAACCCATTATAACAGTAGAGAGGTCCCCCTTTAAGACAAACCCATTATAACAGTAAAGAGGTCCCCCTTTAAGACAAACCCATTATAACAGGAAAGATGCACCCCTTTAAGACAAACCCATTATAACAGTAGAGGTCCCCCTTTAAGACAAACCCATTATAACAGTAGAGATGCCCCCCTTTAAGACAAACCCATTATAACAGGAAAGAGGTCCCCCTTTAAGACAAACCCATTATAACAGTAGAGAGGTCCCCCTTTAAGACAAACCCATTATAACAGGAAAGAGGTCCCCCTTTAAGACAAACCCATTATAACAGGAAAGACGTCCCCCTTTAAGACAAACCCATTATAACAGGAAAGAGGTCCCCCTTTAAGACAAACCCATTATAACAGGAAAGAGGTCCCCCTTTAAGACAAACCCATTATAACAGGAAAGAGGTCCCCCTTTAAGACAAACCCATTATAACAGGAAAGAGGTCCCCCTTTAAGACAAACCCATTATAACAGTAGAGAGGTCCCCCTTTAAGACAAACCCATTATAAGGTCCCCCTTTAAGACAAACCCATTATAACAGGAAAGAGGTCCCCCTTTAAGACAAACCTATTATAACAGGAAAGAGGTCCCCCTTTAAGACAAACCCATTATAACAGGAAAGAGGTCCCCCTTTAAGACAAACCAATTATAACAGGAAAAATACCCCCCTTTAAGACAAACCCATTATAACAGGAAAGAGGTCCCCCTTTAAGACAAACCCATTATAACAGGAAAGATGCACCCCTTTAAGACAAACCCATTATAACAGGAAAGAAAGAGGTCCCCCTTTAAGACAAACCCATTATAACAGGAAAGAGGTCCCCCTTTAAGACAAACCCATTATAACAGTAGAGAGGTCCCCCTTTAAGACAAACCCATTATAACAGGAAAGAGGTCCCCCTTTAAGACAAACCCATTATAACAGGAAAGACGTCCCCCTTTAAGACAAACCCATTATAACAGGAAAGACGTCCCCCTTTAAGACAAACCCATTATAACAGTAGAGAGGTCCCCCTTTAAGACAAACCCATTATAACAGTAGAGAGGTCCCCCTTTAAGACAAACCCATTATAACAGGAAAGAGGTCCCCCTTTAAGACAAACCCATTATAACAGGAAAGACGTCCCCCTTTAAGACAAACCCATTATAACAGGAAAGAGGTCCCCCTTTAAGACAAACCCATTATAACAGGTCCCCCTTTAAGACAAACCCATTATAACCCCCTTTAAGACAAACCCATTATAACAGTAGAGAGGTCCCCCTTTAAGACAAACCCATTATAACAGTAAAGAGGTCCCCCTTTAAGACAAACCCATTATAACAGGAAAGAGACAAACCCATTATCCCCCTTTAAGACAAACCCATTATAACAGGTAAAGAGGTCCCCCTTTAAGACAAACCCATTATAACAGGAAAGAGGTCCCCCCAAACCCTTTAAGACAAACCCATTATAACAGTAGAAAGGTACCCCCCTTTAAGACAAACCTATTATAACAGTATAGAGGTCCCCCTTTAAGACAAACCCATTATAACAGGAAAGACGTCCCCCTTTAAGACAAACCCATTATAACAGTAGAGGTCCCCCTTTAAGACAAACCCATTATAACAGTAGAGAGGTCCCCCTTTAAGACAAACCCATTATAACAGGAAAGACGTCCCCCTTTAAGACAAACCCATTATAACAGTAGAGACGTCCCCCTTTAAGACAAACCCATTATAACAGTAGAGAGGTCCCCCTTTAAGACAAACCCATTATAACAGTAGAGAGGTCCCCCTTTAAGACAAACCCATTATAACAGTAGAGAGGTCCCCCTTTAAGACAAACCCATTATAACAGGAAAGAGGTCCCCCTTTAAGACAAACCCATTATAACAGTAGAGAGGTCCCCCTTTAAGACAAACCCATTATAACAGTAGAGAGGTCCCCCTTTAAGACAAACCCATTATAACAGGAAAGAGGTCCCCCTTTAAGACAAACCCATTATAACAGTAGAGAGGTCCCCCTTTAAGACAAACCCATTATAACAGTAGAGAGGTCCCCCTTTAAGACAAACCCATTATAACAGTAGAGAGGTCCCCCTTTAAGACAAACCCATTATAACAGTAGAGAGGTCCCCCTTTAAGACAAACCCATTATAACAGTAGAGAGGTCCCCCTTTAAGACAAACCCATTATAACAGGACAGACGTCCCCCTTTAAGACAAACCCATTATAACAGTAGAGAGGTCCCCCTTTAAGACAAACCCATTATAACAGTAGAGAGGTCCCCCTTTAAGACAAACCCATTATAACAGGAAAGAGGTCCCCCTTTAAGACAAACCCTTTTTGTCCCCCTTTAAGACAAACACATTATAACAGTTGAATCCCCCTATTATAACAGGAAAGAGGTTTTCATTATAACATATAATACTTGTAAGACAAACCTATATTAGACAAACATTATAACAAGGTCCCCCTTTCAAACCTATCATAATGTGACTTTTCAGAGTTAAATTAAAACTTTTAAGACTCATTTCATAAAATCTAATAAGAAACACGATACATGCTCAATATTGGCTGGTACCAAACGATATGAAACATGTGCATCGTTCTGTAAACAAGTATACCTTTTCTATAATGAGATAGGTGAAATGTTAAACAGCTTCGTTCACTTACGATAATATTCTTTCTTTTTTAAATTATATGATGCTGAGCGGTTACAACAGTCTGAAGGTATCCTAAATGAAAGACAATGTAATCATTGTATAACATTGAAGTATCTTGGTATTCTGAATGAAATATATTGAGGGTAAGCTAGAATCGGTTGAAATACCATTAAGTGAGACCTATTGAAACAAACTGATCTCCTCTCTTGCCTCATACTTGATACAAAGCTGATTTCCCTAAAATGGCCTCTAGGGACAGTATCATTATGCCAATAAAAAAAACATATCGAGTTAAAGGGCAATACAGACTCTCCATCCTTACTTACAAAGGGAACCAACAAATAGAGGAGCTGTAGGATAAAATTACGACTGACCTTGTTATTATTTTAGTTCTCTGTTCGAGGAATTTCAAATTCGATTGCTATCAATTTATATTATGGTTGTCATAGCCCATCCTTACAGTTCCTGAGTTCCGCCATATTGCTTATTTCGTCGGTTTATACAATATATATCCCCAACATATAACTACACTACAAATGGCCTCTTATAAAAAAATTTTAGTTCTCTGTTCATCCCCAACATATATGTTTTCGTACAACCCTGTGTGATAATATATATATATATACAACCCTACAACCCTGTGTGATAATTTACATCCCCAACATATTCTACAACCCTGTGTGATAATTTACATCCCCAACATATAACTACACTACAACCCTGTGTGATAATTTACATCCCCAACATATAACCGTACACTACAACCCTGTGTGATAATTTACATCCCCAACATATAACCGTACACTACAACCCTGTGTGATAATTTACATCCCCAACATATAACTACACTACAACCCTGTGTGATAATTTACATCCCCAACATATCACCGTACACTACAACCCTGTGTGATAATTTACATCCCCAACATATCACCGTACACTACAACCCTGTGTGATAATTTACATCCCCAACATATCACCGTACACTACAACCCTGTGTGATAATTTACATCCCCAACATATAACTACACTACAACCCTGTGTGATAATTTACATCCCCAACATATATCACCGTACACTACAACCCTGTGTGATAATTTACATCCCCAACATATAACCGTACACTACAACCCTGTGTGATAATTTACATCCCCAACATATAACTACACTACAACCCTGTGTGATAATTTACATCCCCAACATATAACTACACTACAACCCTGTGTGATAATTTACATCCCCAACATATAACCGTACACTACAACCCTGTGTGATAATTTACATCCCCAACATATAACCGTACACTACAACCCTGTGTGATAATTTACATCCCCAACATATAACCGTACACTACAACCCTGTGTGATAATTTACATCCCCAACATATAACTACACTACAACCCTGTGTGATAATTTACATCCCCAACATATAACCGTACACTACAACCCTGTGTGATAATTTACATCCCCAACATATAACCGTACACTACAACCCTGTGTGATAATTTACATCCCCAACATATAACTACACTACAACCCTGTGTGATAATTTACATCCCCAACATATCACCGTACACTACAACCCTGTGTGATAATTTACATCCCCAACATATAACTACACTACAACCCTGTGTGATAATATAAAACACCACCAGATCACACTACACTACAACCCTGTGTGTTAATTTAAATCCCCAACATATATACGTACACTACAACCCTGTGTGATAATTTACATCCCCAACATATAACCGTACACTACAACCCTGTGTGATAATTTACATCCCCAACATATAACTACACTACAACCCTGTGTGATAATTTACATCCCCAACATATAACCGTACACTACAACCCTGTGTGATAATTTACATCCCCAACATATAACCGTACACTACAACCCTGTGTGATAATTTACATCCCCAACATATAACCGTACACTACAACCCTGTGTGATAATTTACATCCCCAACATATAACCGTACACTACAACCCTGTGTGATAATTCCCCTACATATATCTACACTACAACCCTGTGTGATAATTTACATCCCCAACATATAACTACACTACAACCCTGTGTGATAATTTACATCCCCAACATATAACTACACTACAACCCTGTGTGATAATTTACATCCCCAACATATCACCGTACACTACAACCCTGTGTGATAATTTACATCCCCAACATATAACTACACTACAACCCTGTGTGATAATTTACATCCCCAACATATAACCGTACACTACAACCCTGTGTGATAATTTACATCCCCAACATATAACCGTACACTACAACCCTGTGTGATAATTTACATCCCCAACATATAACTACACTACAACCCTGTGTGATAATTTACATCCCCAACATATAACCGAACACTACAACCCTGTGTGATAATTTACATCCCCAACATATAACCGTACACTACAACCCTGTGTGATAATTTACATCCCAACCATATAACTACACTACAACCCTGTGTGATAATTTACATCCCCAACATATAACTACACTACAACCCTGTGTGATAATTTACATCCCCAACATATAACCGTACACTACAACCCTGTGTGATAATTTACATCCCCAACATATCACCGTACACTACAACCCTGTGTGATAATTTACATCCCCAACATATAACCGTACACTACAACCCTGTGTGATAATTTACATCCCCAACATATAACTACACTACAACCCTGTGTGATAATTTACATCCCCAACATATAACCGTACACTACAACCCTGTGTGATAATTTACATCCCCAACATATAACTACACTACAACCCTGTGTGATAATTTACATCCCCAACATATAACCGTACACTACAACCCTGTGTGATAATTTACATCCCCAACATATAACCGTACACTACAACCCTGTGTGATAATTTACATCCCCAACATATAACCGTACACTACAACCCTGTGTGATAATTTACATCCCCAACATATCACCGTACACTACAACCCTGTGTGATAATTTACATCCCCAACATATCACCGTACACTACAACCCTGTGTGATAATTTACATCCCCAACATATAACTACACTACAACCCTGTGTGATAATTTACATCCCCAACATATCACCGTACACTACAACCCTGTGTGATAATTTACATCCCCAACATATCACCGTACACTACAACCCTGTGTGATAATTTACATCCCCAACATATAACTACACTACAACCCTGTGTGATAATTTACATCCCCAACATATCACCGTACACTACAACCCTGTGTGATAATTTACATCCCCAACATATCACCGTACACTACAACCCTGTGTGATAATTTACATCCCCAACATATAACCGTACACTACAACCCTGTGTGATAATTTACATCCCCAACATATAACTACACTACAACCCTGTGTGATAATTTACATCCCCAACATATAACTACACTACAACCCTGTGTGATAATTTACATCCCCAACATATAACTACACTACAACCCTGTGTGATAATTTACATCCCCAACATATAACTACACTACAACCCTGTGTGATAATTTACATCCCCAACATATAACTACACTACAACCCTGTGTGATAATTTACATCCCCAACATATAACTACACTACAACCCTGTGTGATAATTTACATCCCCAACATATAACCGTACACTACAACCCTGTGTGATAATTTACATCCCCAACATATCACCGTACACTACAACCCTGTGTGATAATTTACATCCCCAACATATCACCGTACACTACAACCCTGTGTGATAATTTACATCCCCAACATATCAACGTACACTACAACCCTGTGTGATGATTTACATCTATAACATATAACCGTACACTCCAAGGTCAGTAATGTGGTGAAGCGGTCACTGACCTTTAACCTTACACAATATCTGTGTACCTTACACAATAACATTTCATCTTCTCTACACCTATCATCACTCTAAACTCAAGGTATCGTATATAAAAGTAAATCATAAAGTTGATTAAATCTGTGCAGAGTGAAACATGACGACATATAAGAAAACATATTTGCAATGTTATCCGCCGTTCTGTCAGAGCCGTGGGCCCATAGAAGTAATTAGATTACATCATACAGGTAAAGACGTAACTAGTGACCATTGTTGGACACCTACCTGTCATTGTTGTTGGTATAAAAAGTCACACCACATCATCTCTACATACAGTCTCCAGATATAAAACAAAGAAACATTACAACACGTGTCCAAACATCCATATGTGTCTCTGGTAAATCACATTGTTAAAAGCCTTCACACGCGGTCCCACACTCCATCTTATATCTATGATTAAGATTGAACGAGTTTTTGTCTTTTTCTATAAGTCTATCAATTTTGCTGGAGTTGACTCGTCGTCAGTCTGTTGTCACCACAATACATGTTTCTACATATCACAACATACTCATTTATATTAATAAAAACACTACCTCATTTACATGTGTCTAGTCATGGTGTGGGATACGTCACACTTGAAGGTTTTGTCACGAGTAAAATAAAACTATTCCACATTGTCGCAGAACGATGTCCGTTACTCTGTGAAATAGTCTATTTCTTGATTACACCCCCTCCTCTTTCCTGTTTCTTTTTCTTGTTTACACCCCATCCTCCTTCCTGTTTTTTTCTTGTTTACACCCCCTCCTCTTTCCTGGTTCTTTTTCTTGTTTACACCCCATCCTCCTTCCTGTTTCTTTTTCCTGTTTACACCCCATCCTCCTTCCTGTTTCTTTTTCTTGTTTACACCCCCTCCTCCTTCCTGGTTCTTTTTCCTGTTTACACCCCATCCTCCTTCCTGTTTCTTTTTCCTGTTTACACCCCCTCCTTCTTCCTGTTTACACCCCCTCCTCCTTCCTGGTTCTTTTTCCTGTTTACACCCCCTCCTCCTTCCTGTTTACATCCCCTCCTCCTTCCTGGTTCTTTTTCCTGTTTACACCCCTCCTCCTTCCTGTTTCTTTTTCCTGTTTACACCCCATCCTCCTTCCTGTTTCTTTTTCCTATATACACCCCCTCCTCCTTCCTAGTTCTTTTTCTTGTTTACACCCCCTCCTCCTTCCTGTTTCTTTTTCCTGTTTACACCCCATCCTCCTTCCTGTTTCTTTTTCCTGTTTACACCCACTCCTCCTTCCTAGTTCTTTTTCTTGTTTACACCCCCTCCTCCTTCCTGTTTCTTTTTCCTGTTTACACCCCATCCTCCTTCCTGTTTCTTTTTCCTGTTTACACCCCCTCCTCCTTCCTAGTTCTTTTTCTTGTTTACACCCCTCCTCCTTCCTGTTTCTTTTTCCTGTTTACACCCCCTCCTCCTTCCTGGTTCTTTTTCTTGTTAACACACCCTCCTTCCTGTTTCTTTTTCCTATTTACACCCCCTCCTCCTTCCTGTTTCTTTTTTCTGTTTACACCCCCTCCTCCTTCCTGGTTCCTTTTCTTGTTTACACACCCTCCTCCTTCCTGGTTCTTTTTCTTGTTTACACCC